CTAGGAGATATGGAGCTGTTTTGATGGAGAACTCAGCCTAACAATTTTTCCTGCTATCCAGACCCTACAGAATGCTACTGTTTCTTGCTTCCCCAAAAGCCTGGTTACTCATTACTTTCCTTGGTCCTTTTAGTTACCCTAACACAGCAAGCTAGCTCCCCAATGACTTGGCTAATTTCTCAGGACTGCGCTGTACCCCAGGACACTTTCATGCAATTTTTCTTCCTTCCTTGTCTCCTTCAGATGACGTTAATGCTGTATCAAATCTTCTCATTGTTTTCTTCCAAGAGGACTACAATAATATACCAATAATTCACTATACTCAAGAGCAATATTAAGTAGCATTTTTGTGAATAATCTCCTAGTAAAGTTATAGTATGACGCTATGCCTTTTTCTCTGACACTCGCTTACATTTCTCCCCTCACCCTGCTGTCCCTTTTCTCTTTGCTCTGACATTTAAGATCTTCAAATAAACTATGTAACTTTCCTATATAGCACATTTTTATTTTCATTATCTTCTTTAAAGTAGAATAAAAGTTCTTTCAGGACGTGGACATAGATCTATTGTTTGGCTTATGATGAGTCCAAACACAAAACCGTGCATAGCATAACAGGCACTTGTTATCTGTTGAATTAATGAATAACATCATGTCCAATTGCTTGTAATGTGATCTATGAATGTTTTCCTTTGAATCCTAAACTAAGTGAGCTCAAAATCCTAGACCATTTTTAATCATCCTGAGTTCATGTATAAATTATGTTTATTGGCACTGATACTTATTGTCATTGCCCTCTAATGATCATAGATTCCTCCAACTGAAGCTGTGTGCAATTAGAGGGGGTTGACTTAATTCTCAGATTCTCATTTGAAGCAAGTTCTTTCTCACTGAACAACTGAAAGTTTGAAGCAATTTTAAATTGCTTTCCTTAAAGTCAAATATCAGGGGAGTGAATTTGTTTCAGTGACTTATTCTCAGAAAGAAGTGGCTGACAAGAAGCAATCTGAAAATAACCTGTCAGATCAGAGATTTTCCTATTCATTAATAATTGTCCGTTACACCACATGGCCTTCTTTCCCCCAAAGCATCATTGAACATGGAGCTGTGGCTTAGACATTGATTGGAGCTCAGTTCTCATTATTTGTAACTTGGAAGAAATTAATCCAAGAGATGTTGCTGTGCCTTCTATATGGGGCCTCAGTAGTATGCGAATCACCATTTCTGAAGCTTCCTAGAAGAGCAGGAAGCAGAAACACTGAAAGCAGACTCAGGCAAAGACACAGTTAATGAGGTTAAGATATGGTGCTGTATATGTTAACAGCTTAGGTAGCTACACTCAGAAATTGTAGTCAGGACTGCTTGTATATGTTCATTCCTGTTGTGTCAGCCAAGTGGCTGAAAGTAGTGCCAGTGGTGATGTGTGACCCTCTTGGCTCATTGTGGACTCAAACAAATTTAAGAATTCATGTTATATGTACCTTAATAAAGGTTGTATTCCAATCTTAAACTGAAATAGTTTAAACTCTCATTTTGTAGTTGAGAGCAAAATGTTTTGCTAATCAAAGGTGTTACTTCACTCTTTCTCTTAGAATGAGAACATTTTAACTTACATTCATCATGTTCTACAGAATTTGTAGAAAGAGGAATTAAGTCAAATTGAAACTCAATTCCTGAAACATTGCTCATTGAATGAGGTCATTCCCAGAATATTATAGGAAAGCAAAATTTAAAAGTTCAACTCTTACCTTTAGATTCTAGTCTTTCACATTTATTAGTTGTGTGATACTGAGGATAGTACAACATCTTTCAATTCCCATAATTATAAAATACAGTTCAGTATGGAAGAATATCTATTATGTTGATCAGTGAGAAGTTAGATATAGTGTCTGCCATGTGATAGAAGCCTGATAAATAATTGCAACACTAGGTACTTACTGTGTGCATTATATTTTCAGACATTCAATTCTGTTTCTCACTGAATCATGCTCAGCTGATGTGGTTCCTCTTCTCAACCTATGGCAGCTAAATTTGTGTTTAGCTGCATATAGCAAACTCTTTCAGTTGTAGGTAAGAGTTATTTGTTTAGCATCTTCACCAATTTGGTTTTCTAGAGCTCTGAGTTAGACTCAGTGTGACTCTCTTTGCTGCCACCCTCTTTCTTCAACTGGTTTGCAAGTCCCATCACCCAGCTATCATTAGCAACAGCCTTATTAACTCAAATGCAGTCACATTCCCAGCCTCACATTAATATTGTTCCCCTAGACTAATTTCAAAAGAGTGGCAAATATGTCATTGTGTTGCTACATAGCACCGAGACAATGGTTGTAGAGGACAAGACCCATTATACATAATGTGAAATATGCGACACACCTGAAAATGTTTAGGTCCTATGGAACTGACATTGCTAACACTCAGACTATTTATTATTGGCATTGTTTCAAAGAGTAAAAGCCACACATGTATATCATTAAGAATACACTCAAAGAACCTTGGAGAGGTGCAAACTGTCCATATACCACTTTGAGCTACTGTGTTGCATTGAGCAACATAACTCTTGACAACACAGTCATTAAAAAGAATGGAGTCACTCAACTCTCAATGTTAAGGTGCTAAACCATGATTTGATACTTATCATTAGTTGCCAAATATATTTGGCCATATATGGAAAGCATGTGAGTCTTTCTATAATTGAAAGATTAGCAAGTTGAATTCTTCTGTGCCCTTGTTTTTCAGTCAAGGAAAAAGGAAGTTCTGAAATGGAGACAATGGAAGTTCCACTAGATTTATATCCTGTATAGCTATTTATTCAACTCCAAGAATACAGTTTACCATATAAAGGTATAAACTGTTTTCTCTCCATCAGTTAAATCTCCATCAAAGGAAATTAAAGGTGTTCCCTACTTAAATCCTGGCAGAGTCTCATTTATATTGGCACTTCCTGACCAACATGCTAATTATTGCTGCTATATACAGACGCTGAAATTCACTCAGGATTTCTGCCCTCTAACTCTACTTTTAAGAATTATCCACATGTTTGAATTTGAGTCTGATGGACTAGCTGCATTCCACCATAACCCTAAGAGACATTTGTTGCACTGGGCCTGCATTACTCTTGACGGAAGATTTTGGTCATCATTGTTCTCGTGGATAAGGGAGGGAAGAAGGAAAATTCAAACCCTAGGGAACAGCCTTGAATTATCACAGTCATGCAAGGTTGAAAAGGTTGTTAGAGAAACAGAGTGGAGGCCTTGGTGGAGGGATTTCAGAAAAGAGAGAGGGGATGAATAAGTGAGCAAGTTAAATGTGAAGGGTCTCTCCTTGAATCTAAGTGGTAGCTTTTAGCATATACCTTCTTATTCTGCAAGCAGAAGCAACTGGCATGTGTTTTGTTTCCCAACATTACAGGTACTGAAAAGTATATCAGTAAGGTAGCCAGTGTGGATAAAAGGTACAGTTAAGAGAAAAAAGGAAGAAATGGAGGAGCAAAGGAAAGAAGGAAAGGGAGGAGAAGAAAGGAGCGAGAGTGAATGCCTTGTACCCCTTGCACTGTTTTCCAGTAAGCATTTCTCGCATATAATGCACTGAAAAGGTAGACATCCGCAGTCACGGTTTCATTACTACACCAAATACCTGACTCAGGCTGTTTTTGAAGGACGAGGTTCATCCTGGCTCAAGGCTTTGGAGGTTCCAATCCGAGATTGGTTGCTCCCGTTGATTTGGCCTCTGATTGAGGGCAATGGATGCCCGTTGGGGAGCATGTACCGAGGAATCACAGCGAGTCAGGAACTAGATAAATGAATAAATAAATAAATATGTTAAGCGATCGTGAGATAAAACTTGTCCAGCTTCCCAGACCTCCCTGATCTGTATACCTTTCTAGCTACAATCTCTCCAAAGGTAACAGCAACCTGGATTTTTCCATCATAGATTAGTTTTGCTATTTTTAACTTAATGTGATTGGATTCATATTTCATTCTACTCATTTGTGTTTTGTTACTTTTAAATTTTTAATGTTTACTTATTTATTTGAAAGGGGATGGGGGGGGAGAGAGAGTGAGAGAATGAGAATATGAATCTTCCATTTGCCAATTCACAACTCAAATACCTATAACACCCAGAGCTAGACCACAGTGAGCCAGGAGCCAAGAACTCCATGCTGGTTTCCCACAAGGGTGGCAGGAACTGAAGTACTGGAGCCATCATGCACTGCCTCCCAGGCACATAAGCAGGGAGCTGGATCAGAGGTAGAGTGGCTGGGACTTTAAACAGCATTCCCACATGGGCTGCAAGCATTGCAGGCTGTGTCTTAATCTTCTGCACCATGGTATAGTACCCCGTGTTTGGTTACTTGTGCTCAACATTATCTTAGTGAGAGTTATCTGTTTGGTTATACATAGTCATGTATTACTCATTCACATTGATATATAATGCTGTGTTGTGAAAATAAACTTTAACACTAGCAGTTTTTAAGGTATGTTTGTTCATTACAATCATCCAATAATATATTACCTCTCAAATGACTATGCATCTTCCTACAAACTTACCATCTTCTCTAATTTTAGTTATTCTGATGGATAAGCTTTGGTTTTTAAAATCACTAAATAAACCTCTAGAAGATACATATACCTAGCAAAAGTCTTCATTTGGAACCAATGTGTGCTGGGTTGGTAAAGGGTAACCTTTCATAAAGTAGAATGCTTCAACACCTGCAAGCTCAAAGAAGAAACCCAATTTAAATGGCCTGAGCAGAAATGTGTCAGCCTGGTCAAGTATTCTGTTTAAAATACTGCCTTATTCATAGATAAGCCATTCCATTTGCGAATGAACAGAGATGCAATAGGCTAGTCATTTATGGACTCTGAAAACTGATAGTTTTTTTTTTAAGTTGGGGGGAGTAGTGGGGTAGAAGGAACCAAGAGCTTTATTTTTATTAATGAATGGGATTTTCATAGAGAAAAATGGGTGGCAGTGGTTTATTCATATCATTATTGCTGTTGCAGGGTCTCCATTTTGGTGTCTATTGGATATTGTTCCTATAAAGAACGAGAAAGGAGATGTGGTTCTTTTCCTGGCCTCATTCAAGGATATAACAGATACAAAAGTGAAGATCACTCCAGAAGAAAAAAAAGAAGGTTTGTACTGTTTGCAGAAAACATTGGCAGATGGGGTAACATTTTGAAATTGTTTATGCAGAGGCTCTGGAAGAAAAAATTTATCTTTATAATAACAGCAACTGATACATATTCATAACTGTTAGCAGTCATATTTGGCGAATATTTCCAAATCACAGAAACTCACATGAATTTACATTCTTATCTTTGTAATAAAGACTCATTTGACAGAAAGCAGAAGTTCATATTCCTATGCAAATAGGATGAGGGTGAGAAAATGATTCACCACAATATAAGAATTCACACCAGCTTGCTTTATAAGGCACAAAATTGGATAGATAGGATAAGTGAAGCTAAATGATATTATTAAAGATACTTCTCCCTTTTTCATCTAATGTGCTATAGCTGAAAACTCAGAGGTGCGAAATTTCATTTGAAAGTAAGAACTGTAGTATACGTATTGTTAAAACAAAGTATTGCAAACAAATATATAACCTTACTATATTATATAGAATAGTATAATTATTTAAGACACAAATAAGGTTTCAATTTGTGTAAAGTATCCCTTTTAAGAGTTTATGCTTGTTGCCTTCTATTATTTTTGTAGCTTGTTAAGAAATACCCTGCATTTCATATAAGCTGACAGAAATCCCTGCTGAAAAAAATGGTGTTATTTGTTTTACAGAGAAGTCGGATTAGGTATTCTAGAGACAAGAGAAGAAGCAATTTGTGCCTTTGTGAATTTCCTGTATGGGGGAGTTCTTTGTCAGAACCTGATACTTAATATTTTAAACTTTTTAGGAATGGACTCCTTTTTTAAATTAATATTTACTTATTTGAAAGCAGAATTACAGAGAGAAAGAGAGAGAGAGAAAAGAGACAGAGTGTGAGAGAGAGAGATGGAGAGAGAGAATTTGCATCTGTTGGTTCATTCCCCAAATGGCCACAACAGTGGAGGTTGGGCCAGGCAGAAGTCAGGAGCCAGGAACTTAATGTGGGTCTCCCACATAGGTGCAGGGGCCCAAAGGACTTAGGCCATCCACCACTGCTTTCTCAGGCATATTAGAAGGGAGCTGGATGGGAAGTGGAGTCTCCAACTTGTGTCCATATGGGATGCTGGCATCAAAGACGGTGACTTTACCCACTTTGTCAAAATGTTGGCCCCTAAAGATGTATTTGAAAGTCAGAGTTACAGAGAGAGAGGGAGAGAGAGAGAGAGAGAGAGAGAGAGAGAGAGATCATCCATCTTCTGCTGGTTCACTCCCCAAATGGCTGCAACAGCCAGGGCAGGCTGGTACAGGCTGAAGCCAGGAACCAGGAGCTTCTTCCAGGATTTCCACATGGGTGGCAGGGGCCCAAACTCTTGGGCTATCTTCTGCTGCTTTCTGAGGCCATTAGCAGGGAGCTGGAACTAGAAATGGAGCAGCCAGGAGCGGAACTGGTGCCCATAAGGGATACTCATACCACAGAAAGCAGCTTAACCAGCTATGCCACAGCGCTGGCCCCCAGTGAGATTATCTGTTTATGTTTAGGAGTGGACTCTTTTTTTTTTAAGCGATTTATTTATTCTTTATTTGAAAGGCAGAGTTAGAGAGTTCAGTCCTCAAGTGGCCATAATGGCTGAGGCTGGGCCCGAATGAAACCAGGAGCCAGGAGCTTCTTCTAGGTCTCCTCTGTGTGTGCAGGTTCCCAAGCACTGCTTTTTCTAGGAGCATTAGCAAAGAGCTAGATTGAGAGTGGAGTAGTCAGTAATCAAACTCGTACCCATACGGTGCTCTGTAGGTGGTGGCTTTACCTGCTGTGCCATGGTGCCAGTCCCAGGAATGAACCCTTTTACTCTCACTCTTTTTAAAAATGTGGATTAATGTTTTAAATATACTATATTCTTTGAAATTTCAGCCCAGATGAGGAACTGCCACAGTTTGGTGCCCCCCACATCTATAATTCAAAATCTTTGCAAATATATTGAACTGTTTTCCTCTATATTTGCATAGCCAGATACCTTGATATATTTTGCATATATGAGGAAAGCATAGTCTAACAATTACATGAGTGTTAGAGCAAGTGTAGTGCCTGTGTGATGTAAGTTTCATAAAGGTAAGTGTGGAAATTGGTATGCACTTTTTTTACTATTTTCTTTGGAATATAAGGATACAAAAGGCAAGGGTTTTTTGAATACAATTGTTCACATATATATATAAGTATATTATGCACATATATATTTGTGTATATTATGCACACATATATGTGTGTTATTATGCACACTTCTGTATGTGTCTGGACAAATATGAATAGGAAACTATCCTCAAAAAGCAATACATTCTTTTTTGTTTGCTTGCTGCAAATCAATGCTTAGCTGACTTGCTTTGAGCATGAGTATTCATGTCGAATGATTTTATACAAATTATTTGATCATCGGTTTCTGATGTTCTACATATCTGTTGATAGAAGGGAAATCCCCTTCGCAGTATAGATGAAAGGAGCGAGATGTACATTTTCGTTTGGTATTTGAAAGAGTTCAATCAAAACACTTGTGTTCACCACCCAAGTTTTTGAATCAACCTGTAAAGAAAAAAGAGTAAGGCAAATTTGAGATCAAAATGTCACTTTTATTTCTGATAAAACTAATAAAGGAGAACCTGACTTTTCCCAGCAGGTAGTGGACTCCCTCCTAGTGAGCTACAAATTAAGGCAAATTGTGCTTCAGTCGCAAAATTGGACTGGTACAGGGACGAAGCTTCCCAAGAGGAAACTAAAACCTTAGAGGGTCAGACCAGGACAGTTGGTCCCCAAAGGCAGCTGCTGTCTGAAAAGAGAGAAGAGGAAGGGGTCACATTGTGCATGCCCATCTCTGCTACAGACCTCAATCAGGTTAAACTACACATCTTCCCTGGGGATGAACTGGGTATATGAGCACGAGGAGGCCAGTCAGGTCACCATGGAAGAATTGCTTGCATGAGAGATCATTCCTGCCATTGGCACTGAAGGCTGAGCACCTGACACTCTGTGTAACTAGGTTTCTGCCTTGGAAACGAGTTTCATATTTTTAAAATGAATATATTGAACTGTGTTCAACAATAATCCCATTTTTAGTTAAGGAACAGGTGCAATAAAAAGATGATACTCTGGCAAGATTCAAAGAAAAAATACAAAAGACTTTTAACATTAATTATATTAGGCAAATTAATTTAAAGTTTTGAAATATTTGCTGGTGAGTCCCTAAGTCTTTTTATAGTTTGATAACTTTGTTCCTCAAATAATATGTTTCATGGGAAATTAAGTATTGCTCCTGATATATACTGAACATTCAGGAACACTTTTTTCCTGTGGCTATGTTATTATAAATGTCCCACAAAAATATGTAGATTTTTAGAGACAAATTAGCTATTGTAAGTCATCATGGTTGTAAAAATGATCATTAACAACTACAAATATAATTCACTAGTTGTTGGCATATCATCAAGAAGGGAACACCTTACCATGTGATATTTTAATTTTTTTATTAATTTAGAAGCAGAGACACAGGAGAGATATATACACACAGCAAGAAACAGACAGAAAGCTCCCTGCCACTGGCTTATATGCTCCCAAATCCTATAGCTGCCCAGGCTGGACCAGGCTACAGCCAGGAGCCGGGAAATCAATTCCCGTCTCTTATGTGGGTGGCAGGGACCCAATCACTTGAGCCATCATCAGCTTCAGGGTGAACATTAACAGGAAGCTGGAATCAGAAGTAGAACTGGCATAAGAACACAGACACTCTAATACAGGAAGCAGGTGAATCAAGCAATGTCTTCAACAGTAGGCCAAATGTATAATGTATGGCATTTTTAGAACCTCAAGAGAAGTGTTTGAAAATCATTAAAATCACTCACTATAAAACTAGAGCAGTAGTGTTTCACAGAACCAAAAATCTCTAAATGAGCATGTGGCCTCACTTGACTCTATTTCATTTCATACAAATGTGTCGCTGAAGTTCAATTAAGTTTGAAAATATTGTTATATTGATTAAGTTTATTCCCTGCTGAAGCTCATAGGATATGAGCTCATAGGGTACTTTGTTTAAGAGATACAAATTGTGTGGTTCTGTTTCTAAAACGTGCTTTAATCATTAATCCTGATATTGTTGGGGATTTTTTTTTTGAAATTAGGAAAAATATATTTTATAGAAAACGCTAGCAGGGCTGGCGCTATGGTTAATCCTCTGCCTTCGATCCCAGCATCCTATATGGGCACTGGGTTCTAGTCCCGGTTGCTCCTCTTCCAGTCCAGCTCTCTGCTGTGGCCCAGGAGTGCAGTGGAGGATGGCCCAAGTGCTTGGGCCCCTGCACCCGCGTGGGAGACCAGGAGGAAGCACCTGGCTCCTGGCTTTGGATCAGCGCGGTGCGCCAGCTGTGGTGACCATTTGGGGGGTGAACCAACGGAAGGAAGGCCTTTCTCTCTGTCTCTCTCTCACTGTCTAACTCTATCTGTCAAATAAAAAATATGTTAGCAAAATATAGGATACAATGCAGACCTTGCACTCACAGCACTAGTTGGAGATTAGCACAAAATGCCAAGTACTAATTGTACAGGCAATAGCTTTTAGATAGTGATTTGGTTGTGTGTGTGTGTGTATGTGTGTGTGTGTGTGTGACAGAGGGAGACTGAGAGAGACTTCAGCACAAGTCTAGTGTTTTTCACCACCTTGGAAAATATCCTCCTTTTGAGGGTAGTAAGGTGTTTGATCTAACATTTTAGAGGCTCAGGTCTTACATCAAATTCCTTGGATTCAGTTTCTGTCTCCAGTTCCTGATTCCAGATTTCAGCCAATGCAGACTCTAGAAGGCAGCAAGAGATGACTCAAGTACTTGAGTTCCTGCTACCAGTGTGGGAGACCTGGATTGAGTTTCTGTTTACTTGCTCCGGCCTAGCCCCAGATGTTACATGTAGGCACTTGGGGAGTGATCCAATGGTGCCAAGCTCTCACTCTTTCTCGCTCTCAAATACTTTTTTTTAAAAATACCCTTCCTTTTTGGACA